TGGGTGAACTATATTTATGGGATTTTAGTGAAACAAATTAATTTAGAAAACATTAAATGTAGCTAATACTGAACAGTTAGATTTATGATTTAAACAATATACCATCATAGAAATAGTGTTTTTGAATTAGAGAATTGGTTTCATATTGCATATCATCGACATATGCTTTTAATAGAGTTGACTTAATCTTATAAATGATTTTAAATATTGGAAATTTGATACTTCATGAACATTGTCAAATCTATGTTGTAGAATAGGCTTTATACTTTTATTTAACCAGACGAATGAAATAAAACGTTATCTAGAACATTACTATATTTTTAAATAAGTGAACATTTCAAAGATAGTTTTCTTTAACAAAACTATTATGTAATCTGGTGACTATTTTTGTATTGTATAACTAGATATTATACATATGTAGGCCATAAACTTTAGACCGTTAGAACTGTTTAAGTCTTATTTACATTGTATCAGTATTGACGTGATATTTAATTTATTCTATCAGAATCAGTCTTAATCTATTATGAAAAGAATCTCCAAATACAATGATTTAACACATTATTCTAGGTATATAAACTAAATGTTTTGTTTGATTCACATTGTACGTTTATGCTATATAACTGGATATTACAGTGATCTAACCACAAAATTAATTTACTAAGGTGAAAAGATCTAGTTTAATCTGGTTGGCGATTTATAACAAAATTTTTTTTCTACAGGATGGGGTTGCCGAACCCATACCCAACCTTTCTTCTTTATGTGACCTTAAGACTGGTAGTAGTCCTTGGAGAGCTACAGGTTGAGTTCTAAGTAAAGACCGGAGTCAGACAAGGCTGTTTACTTGAGATTTAGATGTTGGTTGGAGGTAGTCAACAGGAAACCCTGGACCCGTGTTTCGTGCTACTTAGCATTCGTCAGCAAGGTGTACCTGTAATCTTGAGGAAACTGGTGCTCCCTGGCAGATTCGATCTCGTGTCACCCAGCTTCACAGTCAGAGAGGTTACAACTGAGCTCTCTGAGCCGTGACTAACCTCCTGTAGGAGTGAGATGTAATTACAATTGATTGATCACAGGGTGGTGATCAATGTCATGCGTGTCTAGTCCTTATTAGTGCAGATCGAAATCCGGGTCTAGGGTTTCCTGTTGACTACCTTCAACCACCATCTAAATCTCAATATGTAGTGCCCGCAGTGTCGAGTCACTTAGATTGGTGGCTACATTGCAACATGATCGATAGTATTCGATCTGCACTAATAAGGACTAGACACGCATGACATTGATCACCACCCAGTGATCAATCAATTGTGAAGGCTGTTTACTCTCCCCTTTCCTCTTTCATCTGGTAGTTGACTAGATTATGAAAACCTCGACATCTGAGGAAAAACACGGAATATAATGGACAGCTCAGAATCAATTAGACGATTTGGACTTCGCACATGAACTGACCTTTTTAATCCACACACACGAACAAAAGAAGATGAATACAACTAGTGTAGCAGAAGGCTCTGCATCAGTTGGCAACAGTATACACAAAGGAATAAAAAAGATCCTTGAACACAAGACGGAGAACATCAACCCAATCACATTAGATGGAGAAGCCCTGGAAGATGTGGAATCTTTCACGTACGTAGGAAGCATCATCGATAAACAAGAAGTATCGGATGCAGACGTAAAGACGAGAATTGGCAAAGCAAGGGGCCGCATTCCTACAATTGAACAACATATGAAACTCAAAACAAATGTCAACCAATATCAAAGTCGCAATCTTCAATACGAACGTCAAGGCAGTTCTACTGTACGGAGCTGAAACTTTGAGAACTAATACAACCATCGTAAAGAAAGTACAAGTAGTTATAAATAGCTGTATACGCAAGATACTCAATGTCCGTTGGCCGGATACTATCAGCTTACTCTGCGAGAGGACAAACAAGGTTCTATCTGAGGAGGTAATCAAGAAAAGGCATTAGAAGTTTATATAACACACATTACTGGAATCATCAAACTGCATCACTAAGCAAGCGCTTCCTTGGAATCCTAAAAAGAAACGGAAGGCCTAAGGACACACTACTCCGGGAATTGGAAGCAGACATTAAATGGATAAATAGCAACTGGAGACAAGTGGAAAGGATTGTTCAAGATAGAGTTCTAACAGGCGTAAGTAAGTAAGTAAGGTGAAACAATAATAGCGACATCATTCACTAGTTTAAAATCTGCTTTATAGGACTGACGAAAACACCGTTTATCTAGTTACAAAGTTGACAGTTCACGAATTTCATGAAAGAGCCTACTTATTTCAGTGATTTATAAATGATAGATTTAATTTTTCACAATTGTAGTTTCAAGTAAAATCATATTTAATTTATAATACTTTGAACTTTGGTGATCATTATTAGCAAATAGCTAAATAGACCCTGACAACGAATAATTCATCTTTGAAAAAGCAGCCACAATTTTCAAAACCTTTTGAGGCAATGTGTTACGCAGCAGTCTGAAAAATAAATAAATCAAAATACGTAGTTTTTTTAACCATTTTCTAGGTAACGAGTAAACCTAAAATTCAATACATCAATAATGAAAATGAATTGATTTAAAAGTTTACCTCGAACTAATAAAATTTTAATACAATTCCATTTTGTATGAAGGGAGTTAGTCATGTTATTTATCATTTCATATTACGCCAATCTCATAGGGTATTAATACAATAGTCTTTAGTATCAGAAGCGATTTTGTGGAGGTTGTAGTAATTTCAATAGCTGAGATCATGAATCAGTTGAAACTAGACAAACATGGAAAACTTGGATGAACTTGACGGCTGTTTCGTTCTATAAAGGGACTCAGCAGTACACATCCACGACCCCGCCTCGCGGGATTCGAACCCAAGAACTGTCAATCTCGCGCTTAACCACTAGACCACTGAGCCGTCCGGCATCCAGCGGTGTTAATATCTAACTTCAACTAATTTATGAAATTGAGCAACACATCCACCATTGTTTTCAGTGAGTTACTATTTCACAAGTAACTTGGTTGAACTCCACTGGTCACTTCTTCTCACTAGAGCTCTAGGAAATCTATCTTGAGGCCAGTCATTAGTGAGCATATGTTGATTAGTATCAGAAGTCTTTGTTTTAACAATCCTATTTGATTTAACCATTAATTGTTAAATGTATCTATCGTAAAACTCTTTATGAATTGAATGTTAACTAAACATTCTATTTAAACGTTATGTGAAACAAAATGAAACTTGTCAGTGTATATGATAGTTTCACTTGATCTATTTATCCAATATAATGAATATAAAATTAGTTAGTTACCATAAATAGTAAAATAGTATAGGCGTTGACGATTATTCAAATGAGTTATTTATTTTCGGATCAACTATTTTGTTTATTATTTTGTAAAAATACTTCTTCATCCATTAATATATCACCACACCTTGAAATAATTGTCAATGCATCAAGTTTAATGTGAATAGAACAATTTTGGATGGGCTTGAAGAGTTAAAGATAATTCATTTGTAATGGTTATTTGAATCTTTTTGTTTGTTGTGAGATATCAACTTACTGAAGACAAAGGTTTATGGTGGCGCAATCTCGTGGATTGGTTGAAGTTAGACATTAACACCGTTGGATGCCGGCTCAGTGGTCTAATGGTTAAGCGTCTGGCGCGAGACTAATAGGTTCTGGGTTCGAATCTTGTGAGGCGGGATCGTGGATGCACACTGCTGAGAAGTTTCATACTAGGACGTAACGGCCGTTCAGTGCTTCCAGGTTTTTCATGGTGGTCTAGCTTCAATTGACTCATGATTTCAACGTTTATAATTATTTTAAAAAACAGTTTCTTCTGAAAGCCTTATTTATGGTGAAGTACCTTGATGTTCTAATAATGTAGTGAACGAGAATTCAGGTGGGTAAAACCAGTTCACTGTTATGGGTAAAGTGACACAGTGATTTTATAAAATACGAAAATCACATTAAATACATTATTTGCACATCATCACTTAGTTGTCCTATAAATACTTTTTCATTCTTCTAATTCGGTTGTAATTTCTGATTGCTAACTGTTTTTCTTTCCTCTTCTTATTATTTCAATCTTCTGCTGATTAGCATTAAACTTCCAATCCATGCTACACACTACTTATGTCTGTCAGCATAAGCAGCGTGCACCACAGTTTCACTACTGTAATACGTCTTGTTACAAAGAACTCAAATACAACAAAAAACTATAATACAACTACAAATAATAAGCTTCATTACAATGTAATGCGAATAGATTATTGTAATTTCAATAGACAGAAAACAAATAAAACATTTTAAAAACAAAATAATCAAGTCATTTTACTCTTAACATTTCATAAAACACTTCTATATTTCATAGTTAAGTATCTGTAATATTCGATATTGCCAATGGGAATGACTGGTTTAGACATATTTTACGAACATCATGACACTATCAAAATCGAAAAAACAAACAGCGGGAAGCAAAGATGGATAGTGTCTAGCAGTGGAATCTAGGACACGCGTTTCGTCCTTCTTGGGACGTGTCAGCTGGATGTATCTGCATCCCAGAATTGATGCCCACTCCTGGACTCGAACTCAGTACCGTTAGCTCCAAATTCCATAGTGTTATCCAATCAGCTGCCTCAATATAGCGTTAAGTCACAAGCTTTTTAAGTAAAGATGAATAGTAGCTAGTAGTGAGACCGATCAATTACAGTCCTAAATAATAATCGGTAAATACAAGTAAAACAACATCAAGTGAATTTAAGCAACGGGAAGATTGAAATAAAGGCAATAAATATTATTTACTTTAATAAATCAACAATATGTCCATAATTTTTTTTCCAGGATATTCAGTAGTTTCCAAATGGAACGAAAGTGTATTTGATGATGAATTGGCCAATAGTAGTGTTTTCTTTTATTATAACCAAATCCCTATCATTTGATTGGTGGATGAATGTAATAGGATTATTGTATTCAAATAAACATTTCTTTACCTGTATATTTATGTTTAGTTTATTAAAAGATCTGTTAAGACGTTTTTGTTTTTGGTTTACTGTTAATTAAATTAGAATAAAAGATTGTATTAACTTATTATTCAAATGAAAACCTACATTCTATATGTATAATACTATTGGTAAGTTATTTAATAAAGATTTTCATGTTTGTTATCCTTGACTCTAGTTTTTATATTTGATCAGAATGGGGTTTATGGAGATGGTAGTAATCTCAATTAGTTGAATCCATGAGTTGATGTAAGCTAAACCACAATTGAATGCCTGGAAGCACTAGACTGATACATTCAACTATTTTTTTTATTTGAGGCATAAGCGTTCGCGCTTCAGACTGATAGGTCATGGGTGCGAGTCTCGCTAGCGAGATCGTGGATGCGCACTGTCGTGTAGTCTCATACTAGGACGAAACAGTCGTCTAGTGCTTCTAGGTTTCCCATGGTTATCTAGTTTTAATCGACTCATGTATTCAACTGTTGAAATTATTATAATAGTTGTTGTAACATCACATTTTCATATCTGTCTTTAGTCTTATTCTTTTGTTAAAATAAAGTGCATTATTTATTCACAAAGTTTTGATCATTCCTGTTGTTGATATCTATGACTGAATTTCGATTAGTTTATTTTAGGTCGATCCACCTTATTTGAATTACTGCGATATTGTCATTAGGGCATGTTTCTTAGTAGCATTGGTAGATGACTAGCAGCAGAATCCAGGACTCATGTTCTCTCTTACTACAACTCTTCAGGTAGATTTACTTGAACCTCTAACACATAGAGAGTCTAGATCATGAAATCGGGATATAGATACTTTCGGAAGATGCTTCTCAACCAAAACGAAACGCTCATACTGGATTCTATTGCTAATAGTTAATGAACTTAACATAAACATAAAGTGTTTTTAAACAGTGGAATGTAGCAAAACTGATGTAATTAATACTAAAACCCCAAAACAAAATGATTTTTAAATCTATTTTAAATTCTCTCAACACTATTATAAGTAGGTAACCAGGTATTCGAAGTTGTTTCTGTAGTGTTTAGTAAGTAATACAAACATTTTTCCCTTGAATTTCATTAGGTGGACAAGGTCCAATTGTTTTTTTGGTTAGAATTTTACATAGATTTAAGATATTTCTTGATTACATATTAGCCTTGTAATCGGAAATTGCGCAAGACTGATAGGTTCTGGGTTCGTATCTCGCGGGGGTCGGGATCATGAATGCGCACTGCTAAGGAGTCCCATATTAGGACGAAACGGCTGTCCAGTGCTTCCAGGTTTTCCATGTTGGTCTAGCTTCAATTGACTCATGATTTCAACTGTTGAAATTTCTAAAATCTCCACAAAATCCCTCCTGATAAAAATGATTATGTTTCTTATATACAGTTTTCTTCGAAGCCTTATGGATTTTTAATGAATCGTTTTTCATTTAATTGCTTTGTGATTGATTTGTTAAGCTATATTGGATGATATATCAGAATTCCTTTGCCGTATACATTTATAGATGTACAATCGTATATATATGAAATTTTTTTAATAAAGTACTAATTCCATGGGGAAACGTGAACACGAATAACCAAGATGACTTAATAGAAATACTATATTACTAGATTACGTAATACGAATAATAACATTAGATATAGTTAATATAATATGATAATTAAAATGTTTCTGTTAGAATAATTAAAGATCATAGACGTAAAGGGAATGCAGTAATAATAATAATATTAATTAAGGCCATGGTAACGATAAGACGAACTTCTTTTGTACGCATAATTCTGGTATGAGCTCATGGATGGTAAGAGTTTCGGTTATTTTTCGGAGTTGGATACGAAGATTTGAACAAATCATATAAACAACCTTAAAACCAAACTATGGATCCGTAGAATAATTACAGTCGACTAGGTGTTCATATATAGAATGACTGTACAGTTTGATCATAAATTCGTTGAACTTTGTGTTTTTAATTCTTAATGTTTAAATGGAATTTAACTATCAATTTATAGTTGTGTTTAACACAATTGAATTGATCAACAAAGTGAAACTTGGACTGAAAGTTCAAATATTGTTTGTAATTTAAACAGTCGAAATCATGAGTCAATTGAAGCTAGATCAACATGGAAAATTTGAAAGAACTGGACGGCCGTTTCATCCTATTGTGGGACTCTTCAGCAGTGCACACCCAGTGCTTCCAGGTATTCTAATGTGGTCTAGCTTCAATTAACTCATGATCTCAACTGTTTAAATTACTACAATCTCCACAAAACTTCTGCTGATATTGTTTGTATTTGAAGAAAATTATAGACTTTTTTTACTATTTCCCAAGCAACATTTCTAACGTCCTTTTAAAATACTAAATTTTATTCTTAATCACTTAGTGAAGGGTATCTATGGTGTATTAAATTTCATTCCTAAATAGGTTTTTTGATAGTTTTTTTTGGAATTTAATGGATATTTATTCAATGGTCTAATCACCAGTTGTTCTACTATCAGTCTCTACTTGATATTTATAATGATTTATAGTATCTACCTTATGGGATTTCATTAACTCAAATTTCCCATTCATACATTAAGACATCCTTCTTTTTATTATTAATTAATCATTATAAAACTACTTTATACAAACTTGATTCAAATTATAAGTTTAATCAACTCAAGTATATTTAGAGAAGGGTATTTTATGAATATTATAGTAATTTAATAATTGAATTCATAAGTCAATTGAAGCTAGACCATCATGGAAAACGTGGAAGCACTGGATGACCGTATATATTATCAAGTGTATTCATTATGTTTACTTGTCAGTCAGAGTCAATTCATTTTACTATAGAGGTTTATTGTTTAAATATAAAGATTATAACCATTAATTATAAATGCATTTATGTATGTATTCGGATTGTTTTAATGTATTGTATGCATAATATTTGTCTACCTTAGAAAAAAGACTGTATAATTACTACTTATATAAATTAAATAGTAAGCAAGCGTTTATTTTGTTCATTAGACACAATAGAAATATGTTAAAATTGTTAAAATATTTTTCAGTTAAATTTTTTTTAATATCGAAGAACTTTTATAAGCAAAAATGGATAGTGGCTAGCAGTGGAATCCAGGACGCGCGTTTCGTCCCATTTGGGACTCGTAAGCCGAATGTACCTGCATCTCAGAGTTGATGTTCACTCTGGGACTCGAACTCAATACCGTTCGTTTCAAACTCGATCGCGTTATCCACTCAGCTACTGAGTCCTTATAGCCTCTTGCTTGTGCAATGGGGTGAATTTAAATTCATTTGGTATTATTTTGCTTGTATTTTCCGATTGAGGTTTAAGACTGCAATTGAAACGCGCATCCTGGATTCCACTGTTAGACACTATCTATCTTTGTTTATAAAAGTTTGTGAATTAAGGCTATATCGAGGCATACGCACAAGATGTACGTATGGGAACAATAAAACTGAACAATTTCAGTTCTAAAAATCAATAGTATGCTTCAAACAACCAATAAAAAATGAATTAAGTCATATTGTTGTCTTTAAAAGATGAGAATGCTCATGGCATAGTTTTAAAGGCTTGTAAATTTGTCACAGACTGATCCATACATTAATAACTCAAATAATCAGTAGAATAAAGGGGAGCAGTTTCTTCTAATTAATTTAACTTTGGAGATTGAATATAACAGCAAATACACAATGAAACCAAATCCGCAATTCTTTTGTTTTCCTCTACCCATTTATCTATATATTTCTTTTACAGATGACTATTAAAAACTTTTGTATTTTTTATTCATTTTGTTTCAGAAGTTGATTTAGAACAAATTAGGTTATAATCATTACAATAAGTCAAACATCATCACACTCATATAAAAAACTGTAACTGGCATTTTTTCATGTAATTAAGGATTATCGTAATTAAAACGAGAACTTATCGTTGCTAGGCCACCAGTAGAAACCTGGAATCATTGAGATGTTTCGTCGTGGTATGGCGCATCTGAGCGATGCTCATCCACAGACGTAGGAAATGGAAAACATTTACGCATAATCTAGAACCGATCGAAGTTAGACATGTACGCTAATAGATACCTCCTCGGTAGTTTAGAATTCGCGAGTACGTGTGCGAGACAGAAATCCATGGGTTCGAGTTCAGTATACGAAGTCGTGGATGAGAGAATGACCATGTGTCCTATACTCGAAAGAAGCAAATGTTCAGAGCCTCCAGATTTTTGATGGTGTTCTGTCTGAGATCAGTTTGTGATTTAAACTGTGGAAATTCTACATTCTTCACAAATCCCCCGACATTAATGATTATTTTATTAACCCTTACTAAATCATAAAGTGTAAGGATAACCATTGACAATTTATGAACAACGCTTACCTTTATATATGAACAATAATAATTCTATACTATGTTGGACTGATTATTAAGTATACAAAATGATCAAATAGAAAAGTGACTTTTTTTATTTAAACATTTGTGGCTAATGAATTAGTTTTCATTCTTCCTATAAATTACAAGTATTGAATCGCTTATGAGTGTAAATGTAATACTTGTCCCTACAAAATGTTGGATCATGATGTTGATTGAATGTTTTAAATAAGTAAGTGGTAAGAATTTCCTACTAATATTTTGAGCCTCTATTGTAATAACATTACCATTGGTTATTTAAAGGAAAATAGGTTTGCATTTTAATTAAATTTATATTATATATTACAGTAATATTAATAATAAGGTCGTATGAATATAATATGTTATAAGAGAAACGTTGTCAGGATATTTATAATAAGAAATCCGTGTGAATAGTTAATGACTTATGTGCATATTATGTAGTTAACGGGATACAAATAAATAATACTCTAAGGTAAGTGTTTATAATATGTGCTTTATGCTTGTGGTTACCAAATTATGTGCAGTAGTGAATAGGTAGGTTTAATACATATGTATTTCTTAAAGATACTGTCATTTCAGGTACTATGTTAAGCCCGCGCACCTTATTCTAACTTCTGGACAGGCAAAATTATCCCTTCTTCTTGAGTCATATTTTGACCTTGTTAATTATTCACTTATTAACCTTAACTGTTTTGATATGAGCACATGTGTGTGCATTTCTTATCCTATTCATCATATGTCTGTA